ACGCTTGAACGAGAACAGGGGGGGGGGGGGGGGGGGCGTGTGGATGTTGTCGTCGTATAAGGTGATCACCCAATCAACAACCTATGTTGTTCGCGAGTGAGTGCTGCTGTCGCCTCCAAATTGCAAAATTCGCGGGCCAAGATGCGTGAAGGAGATGCATGCGTTGATGAGCACGACACGCCTAACACTCTTATCTTCAAGTCGCTACGGTCAGACCACGAAGAAAAAATCATGGGTTGCATGTAACTGCGACTGTACCGCACGAACTAGCAACTGAAGCAGTAGCAACAGCAGCAACAACAACAACAACAACAACAACAACATCAACAACACGACCAACACCACCACCAACAGCAACAGCCGAAACGCACCCGCGACGTGGGTTCCGTGCCCCACTGTATCCTTCAGCGTCGGCTCGTTGGTCCAATTGATCTGCTCCACTACGTTGTCGAAGTCGTGCCCTCCTGCCTCAAGGCCCGTGTCGAAGATCGCAACCCGGATGCCCTTTCCCGTGAAACCCTGACACGGGAAGGTTAAGGAAGCGGTACGGGACGGTTAAGGAAGCGGTACGGGACGGTTAAGGAAGCGGTACGGGACGGTTAAGGAAGTGGTACGGGATGGTTAAGGAAGTGGTACGGGAAGGTTCAGGAAGTGGCGCGTACAAACGGCCATTGGGCGGACAGAGGGATGGGCGGGGGTGCACCCATGACCGTGCATGCCTGTAGTCGTTAGGCCATCGACCTCGCATCCCTGCAAAGGCGGGACTGAGCACGGTTGGGAGTCACGAGTCGTTGCTTGCGACAGGCCGCCGGAGTTACGCCAGTGGAAACGCACGCCACCTTGAGCCTGAGAAGTGGACTGTTTCCATACGGTTCAGCACAGCGGTATGCAATTTTGATTATCTCTCATTTAGTACACCAGTAGGTGGCCCGATGAGCGGCAGCTTGAATAGTGGAGCCGCCGATATGGTGGCATCAAAATATCTTGTTCCAATCATAAAACATGTAGATGCATGAACCCGATAGACTCTATCGAATAGTGGCGAATAGCGCTGCCTTGAATAGTGGCATATTATCCTCTTACCTCTACATACCACTGCTGTATCGGGCCACCTACTGTAGAACATATTCGCTTCGCGTTCTTGATTAACTGTGCAGATATATCCGTAGACCTTCAGAAGCAACAAAGCGCTTGGCTTGACGTTCTTGAATGACGTAACTGGGGGGTGGGGGAACGGGGCGAGGAAAACCCTCGACTCTCTTGCTTTTGCTGGCCCCAGACTCAGAAGCGCACGACACGGCTTGTTTATCGACAAACCAGAGCGTGTTACCCCCCAAAAGGGTGGGCTTGAGAAACATCTTCTCCTCGGGGACAGCGTTACAATTTTGTTATTACTGTTATTACTGTTAATTGAGCTCGTATTGGTCGGGTTGAGCTTTGGAAGACGTTTTATTTGTTTTTGTTGTCTTCACTTCATATCAGCGCTCACAGCACTAGTGCCGTTTACTCCAACCCGTGGTCACACAGAAGAGCTCATCTCTACCCTCCCTTCCTGCGGTACTTTGCCTTCGATTTTTAATGCGAGAAGAGTTCAGCATTCTCTTCCCTCTGTGTACACACGAACTAGCGCTATCCACTAGGCCAGAAGCGGAAGCGAGAGAAAAACTCACGGTGCAAGAAAAGCTCGCTCACGTCGGGATGCGAACCCCTGACCTGACCTCTAGAAGGTTTCGAGGATACCAACTAGACCACCGTGGGGACCGGCAGACGGTTTAGGACCGCTCAAAACACAGCTGTTGTGCTTCCAAATTTCCAAAAAAAATCCAAATTCCGACTTCGCAGACTTCCAAATTTGGAAGCAACTCGTTCCAGTTTTCAATTGTCCAACTTTTTTCCTCGGCCGCAAATCGAGGTTCAATGGTCTACTGACTTGGAAGTTTTTGGAAATATGGAAGCGAAAAGCTGCTGCTTAAAACTGCCCTGAGGGAGAGCGCGATGACCCGCGTGCGCACGGTACGCTTGCAGGTGTAGACTCAAGCCTACACTTTAAAGAAGAACAGGGGCTACAGGTGTGTAATCGGCCGTCAATAAGTGTTGCCAGAATTCGAGCCATAGATTGTTTGGGTAAATGGCACAACAGGGTATAGGCTATACACCAAGGTCAAAGAGCGACTCAGACGTGAACATTCCTTCGATCACCGTGAAATTGGTCTTGCGGAGAGATCGATGCCCACTTTCACCGTGTGCCGTGTCGCAAACACAATGGGGTATACGGCTGCATTCTCTGGAACTGGACCCTGATATGGCCACGGCATCCACGTGAATACGCATTCCACTATCGCTCCTGCTCACAGCAATAGCAGTCACAACACGTTCAATCCCGCACCCCACATTTTGGAAACCGCAGCATCCGCGAACACACGTTCCGCGATAGTTTCTGCTCAAGGTAGCAAGCAGTCACCTACGTCAAATTCCCCACCGGAATTTCTGAAGCAGATTCGCCGCCGAAACGACAAGGGTGCCTCAACTCCTGCACCAGGAGCAACAAAAACCTTTGCCTTCCCCTCTGACCCCCCCTTTCCGCCCCAACAGCTTTCCCTGCTGCTCACACTGCTGCGGCTGCACATCAGGCAATAATCGCAGCCGACCGATGCTGAAAACAAATGGTAGTCTTTCTTTGGATGTACGTAAAATTTCGAAGAAAAAATCTTCGGCAAACACTTGATATATCGTCAACCGATGCTGTAAAAAAACGGAAGTCTTTCTTCTTTGAATGTACGTATATTTTCTTGAAAACAAATCTTCGGTAAGCACTTGATATGTCTTGTTTAGGCAAGAAATGCCGAGGTAAGAAGGGGAAAGTCGTCGAGGGGGACCAGGAAGAGGGTGTGGCTATAAGAAAAGCCGCTCGCTCGCTCGCACGCACGCACGCACGCAACTCCTCGCCCCCATTGCCGATAGAACACGTGCCTACGTTATTCATCCCGCGTTTGTATGTAGCTCGCGTTTTTCATCCCGTTTTTGTAAGACTGACACATATTTTCCCTGGGTCACCCGGCTAGAGCGGTCCATTGTTGTCGTTGTTGTCTTGCATGGAAAACCGTTCCGGTCTCCGCTCAGTACCGTCTAATATCGATGCTAACTAAGAACTAAACGCAACACACACAAAACTGGGGTATTTTCATCGGTCAGCCGTGTAGCGCGGTCGATAATGGAGGCAAAAAAACACACACCCACACACTATGACGCCCCCTCGCGGGGTCCCAGATCATGGCCTTTAGGAGCATTTTGCGTTTTCAACCGCACGGTGACTGGCTTCTTTTCTTTGGTCAGCCGGTCAGCGCGGTCGATGAGAATTAAAGAAGACACGCCTACGATCCCAGATCATGGCGCCTTTAGAAGCATTTAGCGTTTTCAACCGCACTGCGACTGACGTATTTTCATTGGTCAGCCTGTTAGCGCAGTCAGTGCCAAGAGAAATAATAATACATATGTAACAATAACAACAATACAGTCGTACACATACACCTACGTGGTCACGAAGCGGCTTCCCCTGCTCGCCAGCGTCCACGAACTCCCCCCGCGAAGACCCCCTCAGCCTCCCCTCCCCCCCCGCTGCCGCTAGCGCCGTTCCCCCATCCAGCTGTCGCCGGGCCCCTCTTTCTCCTTCAGCGCCCGGGCACCGTTCCCCCCGCCGTTTCGAATCAGCGGTTCCTCCAACGGTCATGGTGATGTGTCCGTTCGCCTCTATTTCCCCGCCTGAGTCGGCGATTGCGGCCCCGCCGAGAGGCTCTCTCGGCTCACCGCCCTTGTATGAGCGCAAGGAAGGGCCGGAACGGTCGCCCTGCCCTTCAGTGGCGGCGTTTGGGTCCGACGGGGAAAGGGGAGTTTTCTTGCTTCCGTTGTCGATGTCCCCGCCGTCTTGACCCACGGGGCTCGAGAAGAGTTGCTCCCTCGGAGGGTCGACGTCTCGGGCGGCGAAGACCCCCCGCGTGAGAGCCTGCCACAGGGGGGGGGTGTTCGTTACACGGATGGCGCAAAGAACAGGTCAACAAGTCTTTCGTCGTGAACTCCATTGCATATTCCGCGCGCTTTACGGGAAATGCCCGTTGTGAAAAACGGGCACGATTTTTCCGTGAAGCCTCTTGAGTATCTTGGGCGAGAGGAGTAGGCGGCTGGGTAAAGTTAGTTGTGGTTGCCTCTCTGCGTCGCTTGATGATCGCATTGTGCTGCCATCTATCTATGCACACGATGATGCAGCCAACATTCTACAGCCTCGAGTGTTCCTGCGCTCACCCGAACAACTGCGATCCGCACACCATTTTCCACCGGAACACAGAAGGTTTCGCCCTAAAACGGTCGCAAGGACAACACACCTCGTGTTTTTCCCATCTGTAATGCACACTACGTTCCAGGGAAAACAGAACAGAGTACCCCAAACCAGCTCGAACAGACACGGTACTTCGTATTTCTGCATCTATCATGCACAACACGTTCCCCGGGCAAGTGGGCCGTACAGTCTACGAAAGTACCGAAGCCTAGGTTCACAATACGTCACCTATGAGTGGAAAAAATATTGCACCCTCGTGATTTTCCATCTACCATGCACAGACACTTCCCACACGGAAAACCCGGACAAGACGTACAGTAAGTATACGGAAACCCAGGCGCGGTACGGCACCTTTTCTCGGAAGACGCCTTTTACCCAACGGTGAGCCCGGAGAGCCCCAACCGCCTCCTCCGCCGCTGCCCGCACGCACGGAACCCCCCTGTACCTCCCCTCCTCGCAGGCGTTCCCAGGGATACCCGCCGCTCGATCTCCCACTCTCGCACCGGGACAGGCGTCTCGATTTCCTCCATCCTGGCCCCCTCCCACCCGACATTTTGCCTGCTCCTCCTCATGCTCGGGTTGTGCAGGATTGTCCTCTAGAGGTGAGGTTCGGTCGATTTTGGAGAGGTGGGCGAGGTCCACGTCAGAGGCTTCTGTCGCCTGATATCGCAACCGGACCAGGGAGAAGTCGCTCGGGAATTTTCCGCTGGAGGTGGCCGGGTTGACCCTCTCCACCAACTCCCAGCAGCACCCGCAGGAACTAGGGTCGCCGCCGCCGTTGTTGTCGACCTCATCATTGCCGTTGCCGCTGCTCCTCCTTCGCTCGTCTTCTTCGCGGCCGCTCCTGGTGCTGGTGCTGGTGCTGCTGGCATCGACGCTGTCACGCGCTCGAGCGTCGCTGCTACCATGAACGTCAGAGGCTTCGCAGCCCCCCGAGCCGCAACGGTCGAACCCGCCCAACGCTCGCGAGAGAAGGCTGTTGTGGTCCTCCAGGGGGTGGAAGTCCGTCCACTGCACGACGTACTGCGCGAGCACCTCGCCCCGCGGCCCGCTTGTAGACGCGGGGATCTCTGGTAAGGGGTGCGTTTCGGCAGCACCCGCGTCGCACCGCCTTTGTCGACGCCGCGGCTGCTGCTGCTGCTGCTGCTGCTGCTGCTCTTGATGCTGGCGGGTTGGGTCCCGGTCGCCCTTCTTCTCCCCGTTCCGCCCGGTATCGACAGAAGACCCCAACACAACTTTTACACCAGAGAGCGGGACGTGGACGTCCTTAGTAGTTTCTTGCGGGTGCTCCACTTCACCGCTGTCTGCCCGGCCGTTCAACCCAGCAACGGCCGCCACGGACGTCGCCGCCGCCGCTGGAGCCCCAACGCTCTCAAACTCGTGCCCCGATGACATCTCCGATTGGAGACCTCTACTTCGCTCCTGACCTCCCGAAAGTGACAGTTCCGCACTGCGGCCACCACTACCAACGGAGATACATCCAGCGCCAACACATGCACCATCCTCCCCATCAGCGGCAACAGCAGCGCCGTCGTTACCGCCACAGCCACCCCGCGGGTGCTTTATGACCTCCCCCCGCCCCGCCCCCCAAAAAGTCTCCCGCGAGGGTCGCTGCGTGGCTGACAGCTCCTCGGACAACTCCACCGTCGAACTCCGGCGTACCGCCTGTGCGGCTATCGCCGTCCCCTCCACCTCTGCCGTTGCACCGCCGTCTACACCAAAGGTCAACGTTTCGGCGCGGTTTCTTCGAGGCGGCTGCGGCGGTGATACTGCTGCCGTTCCCGTCGCCGTTGGCGCGAGTTCGGGTTCTGCTTCTGCAACGCCCCCCAGCAGTGGCGGCGTCGCGAACACGGCATCGGAGGCTCCTGGTGACGACAGCAGCGCCGCCAAGGCTGACAGCACCAGGGCTGCGCGCCAACCGTGACGACTTCCGGAGAACGGTTTCCTTGGCATTATTTTCCTTTCCTACGGGTATCTTGGGAGGGAGGGGATACGGCGGAATGGGAATGAAGCGTGGCTGTGGTGGTGGGAGTGGGGGTGTTACTATGGTATGCATACGGCTTGGCAAAGTTGCACTTGTTGCGGCGATATGCTCCGCTGTACGATGGTACGGCTTGGCAACGTTGGACTGGAGGTATACCTCCGAGAAAGTGTCAGGGGGAACCATGTACGCGTCCCACTGCTGTACAAGAGGGCAGAATATTACAAAAAATGAACTTGGCGCACACACTCCCGCTTTCCGCCGGGGAACTAGAAGGAGAAAAACCTGTGCACCCAGGGCAAGTGCTACACGAGAGCCGTCCGCGCGAATGGCTAACCATGCCTCTCTTATGGTTGTCTTTCAAGTGGAGAGTTCTGCCCGTGGATGGAAAAGTCGGCACTTGCAGGTGTGCCATTGGGTATAGGAAGATCGCATGCGCGCTGCTAGTGATAGATGGGTTGTTACACACACACGTACGCATATTGTACAATACCCTGCCGAAGTCGCTACTGTGCATATGCAGCAATCCAAAACAGACCATACCGCAGCAGCACCGGGGTCGGGTTGCTTCATATGAGGCAGCGAAGATCCTAACGCGTACATAGTGGTGAGCAGCAAACCCAGGCAAGTTTCAGGTTTGTTGCCGATGTTGCCGCTTTCCCAATGTTGCTCACCTGGACTCTCCGGCTCTTCTGGTTGTTGTCGTGGCTGCCGCTCCCAGAGAAAATAACCGGCGGTCTAGAGAGTGAGTCCTTCCCTCGAGCAAAGTTGACCTTTCAGGCGGGTAAATCTGATTCCCTGATGTGCTTCCGTCCAGCCACCCCCCTCTGCCTCTCTGTGTCTGTACTGCCCCTGTCTCGGTAGCGGCCTTCTCCTCGTCCCGCGCGGGCTGATTACACGTTCCCGAACCGGCGCTTTTTCGCGAGCGAACCTGCTATAATAGAATATGTCCCGCGTCCCGCAGCAGGCGAGTAACAGTATGCGCGGGTGTCACCATCTTCTCTTACTTGTTACTGTACTCACGCATGCGCCCGGTGTATGTTATTGCACGGATTCTGCGGTGTGTCTATCGCGGGTAGGAGGTGGAGACCTTGAGACGGTTCGACTGCCTGCGGTACTACAGGCAAACACACGGATGTAGTGCCACAGGCGGCGTTTCGGTCGATTTCCGGAGGTGGATATGTAGTCTGATCTTGCCGGTTGGCTTGTTGTGCTGTGTGTTCTTATAATCCTCTCTCTCCTACCGGTCTGTGTTCTCCTAGTACAGTTAGACCCCGATTTATGGGAACAAAATCTTGTTTTGGGAAAATCTTGTCTTTTCGGCTTTTTGGGCAGTCTGCTTCCCGAACGAATGCGAATCAGTTGTTCCACCTTCGAGAAGAGTCATAGCTTTGGCTGATATGTCTACAGATTGCCTATGTAATGGAGCAACTAGTGTATTTGCATTGTACGAGCGTTTCATGAACGTTGTATGAGTGCTTATTGGATATTTTGAATTTTCTTATATGGATATTTGGCGACGTTGAGGGGTATTGAAGTAGCTTGAAGGAAGACCAAAATCCCAGCCCCGCTCCCTCACTCTCCGAGTGGGCGCTGAGCGGACCTGGTCTAAGAAGGCTAAACAAGAGATCAAACAACAACTGTGAGTACCCGAAGCCAGGAGCAACGAACTTGCTCCCTTCCCTCTTTTATTTCTCTGTTCCTCCATAACATTGTGGCGTCGTCTGCAGGACGCCCCGATGTCTACGCCCCCCGGAGGCATGGCTCCGGCTTCTCCCACCGTTTCGGCGGCTCCGGGTGGTCTCGTCAACCACGCTGGAGCACAGGAACCTTCGGGACAACCGCAGGCCCGCCGCGGTGGCTCGAGTACGCTTGTACCCACCGCGCCCCCTCCGGACCCCTCGCGACGTTCCTCTACGGAGCACCAACGTCGCACGGTGCTGACTGCACCGCCGTTGCCGAGCGCAAGTAACGGTTTCCCCAAATCGGAAGGTTCATGTTCTTTGTCACGAAATAGCGGTCACGAGCCTCCCGCGGCCGCTGACCATGTTGGTCGAGCGCCCGTGATGAAGGCCGCTTTTAATGAACGGGCCTACGTCGACGTTTTGCGCGAAAACGCCCGCGTAGACCGCTTGGTTTCGCACGCTTCTGCGGCTGGTTCACCGCTCTTGCCTGCCTCTCCTCGTAACCCACAATCCGGCCCGCCTTCGGGCGGCACCCAGATTGTCCTGCCGGTTGCCGGTGCCATTTCTCTTGACGATATTTCTTCAGGGAAGGTAAGCGCACCCGCGCGGCAGGCCCCTGGTTTTGACAGTTGTCAGGAATACTATAACGATGAGGTTTTCCTCTTTTGGAAACCGCCGTCCTTTCTGTCTAACTGGACGCCCTGTGAGTTTTCGGTTCATGGCATTCGCTACGTGTGCGGCGAACAGTTCATGATGGCGGAGAAAGCCCGCCTTTTCGGCGATGATGCCGCTTATGCCAAAATCATGGCTACCTCCGACCCGAGAGAACACAAGTCCCTTGGTCGCAAGGTACGCGGTTTTGACCATGCTCTATGGGAGCTCCGGCGCGAGGATGTTGTCTTTTCGCTTTTGTATGCGAAATTCGCCCAAAATGCTGACGCGAGTGAACGTTTGTTGGCTACGAGTGATAGACAGATAGCAGAGGCCAGTCCTTATGACGGATTGTGGGGTATTGGTGTTGATGCATCCGATCCGCGTGCGGCGTCGCCCTCCAAGTGGACTGGTAAAAACCTCTTGGGCAAAGCGCTTGTTGCGACGCGCACGCTTCTGCGTGTGCGCCCGGTCGAACCCGATAAGCCTTTACGCCCTGAACACTCGGGGCAACCTGCTCCCGTGTGTCCCACTATCCACGAAATTGCGCCCCCGGGTGAGGACTCTTCGGTCAATGATTCCTCGCCCGAGGACGCGCGCGGCCCGCTGGACGTGCCAGCCAACACGCCCGCGGACCACTCGAAACAGGTGCCGCATATTGCCTCTGCTGCTTTTCGCGAAGCCGCCGCTTCCCCACCGCCGCTACTGGCGGAACACGGCCCAGATTTGGTGAGCGGTGATGTTTTAGTAGATTGCGATACCTCTACGACGCGAGTCCGCGTTCATAGTGGTACCGGAGCCGTGTGTACAGCGCCTGGTGTAGCCCTTTTGGACTCGGGCTCACCTTCATCTTTCACTAGAGATGCTTTCCTTGAAGCCATGGAGGCGTCAGGAGCTGCATCTGTCCACAGTCGTCGTTCGGTGCCCGTTCGGCAGTGGGGTGGTTTTGGCTCTGGCAATGCTCTTGAAACCACCTCATCCGTGCGGCTGTCCGTTCAATTTTTTTATGGTGATAGTGCCACCGCTTCGTTAGCGGTGTGGGTGTATGTTGTCCCAGCTGCCGCCATGGGTCACGCCCTCCTTCTTGGACGTGATAGTTGGATGCGTTTTAACTCTCGTTTGTCCACTACTTTGCCCACGCGGTCGGCAAGTGGACGCATTATGGAGAAACTTTCTCTGTCGTCGGATTTTGCGGCGGGAGCTTCCGCGTATGTCGCTGGACCCTCCGCCCCCGGGGCATCTTACTTCCTGCGGTACGCCGGCAGGAAGGGTGTCTCCCTTTCCGAAAAAACCACTTTGACGAGGGTGAACCTCGTTCGCAACTCTGGCACCCCCGGTCTCACCGGCAACTATCTTGTCACGTTTTTACCGAAACACGGCACCCTCTCGGCGTCGGACGCGTTTGTTTCGGACGGGCCTCAACACATCCCATTGACAGGGTGCGCCGAGTTGGAGCCAGGTGAGGTGCTTGGAGTGGCGACTGCCCCACTTGTGCAGATTCCGCTTGCGTCGATTGATCCTACACCGCAGACGGCCGAGAGTGTTGGGTTGAGTGACCCTCCGCCGCCAGCCCGTTCCGCGGATGGGCCGCCGTCTCGCGTGAATTCTTTGCATTTAAACATCCCGGTTGCGGATCCGGAGATCTCGGATTCTCCCGCGGCCTCACTGCCGCCGAAACCGCCGCCACCGGATCTGTTGGAACGCCTCTCAGAAGCGCAGCGAGTGAGTTTTCGCGAGTTGTGGCAACGTTTGCCTGCACATTTGCACGATGTGACTTTTGATTTGCATGACTCGGGTTGGACCCCGCAAGCCATCAACAGCCTGGCGGATGTGCGGTGTGACTTTTCGGATGTGTTTTCGCGGTCACCGTTCGATTTCGGTTGCTGTTCCGTGAAACCGTTTCGTTTGGAAGTGCCCACGGGCACGAAACCGTTCGCCTCGCGTCCCTATAGGCTCAACCCTCTGGTGGAGAAAAAGGTCGACGCAATTCTCGATCAATACCTTGCTGCCGGTCTTATTCAGCACTCGCAATCGCCGTGGGCGAGCCCTCTGGTTGTCATGCCTAAAAAGGACGGCAATCTACGTTTGACCGTGAACTACAAAAAGTTTAACAAATTGTGCAGCCTTGGTCAACAACCGCAGCCGCGAGGTGACCACATCATCGATTCCCTGCACAAGGGCAAGGTGTTTTCCATTTTCGAACTTAACTCCGCTTTCCACCAAATCACCGTCGAAGAGGACACGGTTCAGCTTACGGCGTTTTGTACGCCCACGCAACTTTTCGAGTGGCTCCGTATACCTCAGGGAAGCTCCGTGGCACCGTCGTGGTTCACCATGGTCATCAACGAAGTGGTTAAAGGTCTGGACCATGTGCTTGCATACCTGGACGATGTGATTGTGTTTGACGCCGACCCCATCCACCATATCGCCAACATACGGCTATTTTTGGAGCGTTTGCGCAAGTTCAACCTCAAGCTTTCTCCTTTCAAGAGTCGCGTCGGCGCTAAGGAGGCTGTTTATTTAGGTCACACCATCTCCCCTGCGGGTGTTAGTCCTCGTGCCGATAAGGTCGAAGCCCTCACAAAAATGCCGCTGCCTAACAACGTCAAAAAGCTGCGTTCCTTGCTGGGTGGGCTTTCGTATTACCGCAAATTCATCAAGGGTTTGGCCATGCGCGTGAAACCACTCACAGACCTTTTGCGTAAGGACGCGAAGTTTTGTTTTACGCCGGCTATGGCGGATACCGTCAAAGAACTCTTGGCGAAACTGTCAGAACCTCCGGCTTTGGCTTTCCCGGATTGGGACGCTGTCGCAGATGGCAGCCGCCCTCTCCGGCTTTGCTGTGATGCCTGTATCGATGGTTTTGGTGCGGCCCTTGAACAGGAACAGGCCGATGGTTCCATCCGTCCCATTCTCTTCGTTAGCCGCGCTACGCTCGAATCCGAGCGCAACTGGACAGTGCTCGACTTGGAAGCTGGAAGTATCGTGTGGGCAATTAAACGCTTACGCGGTTATTTTTGGTCTACGCACTTTCTGATTTATTCGGATCACAAGGCTTTGGAGAGCATCGTCAAGGTGGGTGAACACAACGCCCGCGTCCAACGTTGTCTCGAGTTCCTTTCCTCGTTCAATTACACCCTTGTCTACCGCAAAGGCACTAGCAACGCCAATGCGGATTTTCTTTCGCGGTTGCCCTTGCCGGCAACCGACGCGGATAGACACGGTGACACCAGTATCGCAGTCGATGACGCCGCGGGCGTGTATCTCATTCGTGCGTGCGGACGGAGTTATCACTCTAGTTCGACGCCGAACATCGGCTTGGGTGGGCTTGACATTGACGATCAACGAGACGGGTTGGCACACGCGCCTCTGACGGAGGATGACTTTGGAGACTTCCGCCGTTTTGGGCCACAAATGATCCTGCCGGCTCTGTCGCCCTCCTCCGTAGTTGATTCGTCGAAATTTTCGCCGCCTGGTGTTTTCGCTGTCGTTTGCGATGCAGCCCCCGAGAGTTCTGTGCCCGATGGACCTCCTCCGGCTTCCGTTTCTGCGGAGACAGACGTCGCTCCCTCGTCCACCGTAGGAACCTCCTCAGCTGCCCTGTCGCTTTCGCGTGGCCCTCTGATTTCTTCTCGTACCCGGGCGAGAACGAATTCGGCCTCGGGCATGGCTCATAGCCGTCCCAATTATTTTCCGAAACACCAACCGGCCGTTGTGGTGCCCAGACCGCCGCGACCTCCTCGAACGCCGGCCCGGTCGAGCCGTGCCGCGCGGTCTACGAGAACCGTGGGTAGCCCTACTTCTGGTCCGCTGCCTTCTCCGGCGCCGGTTGAATTGCAGCCGCCTCCGCCCGCGCCTGCTGCCGCCACCCCGGCGCCACCGCCGCCCGCGGCGCCCATGCCGCCAGTGTTGTCGCCCGCAGGTACTAGCCCTGAAACTTCCGTGGTGCCGCCCACGGCCGCTGAGGAAGCTCACCTCCGCGACTGTGTGCATACATGCTCGCATGCCGATTGGGCCCGAGAACAGCTGTCAGAAAGTGAGTGTGTCGCGGCTATACATTTTTTGTCTTTGGGATCCCCGGCGGTTTTGCCGGATACATTGTGGGATTGCTTGCCCTGTGCGCGACGGCCGGCATTGTCTGATGTTGTCGCCCTCGCATCTAAAACATGCCTACACACACAGACGATGGTACGCGATTGTTGGTGCGAAATTCTGCCCCACTGCCTCACGGTAGTTCGGGCGGGCGTATCACTCGCCTCCCGCCTTCGAAGACTCCGCGCTTATACGTGCCTATGCTATTGCGACCTTGGGTCCTACAAGCATGTCACGCCACCGCGTCTTTTCACCTGGGCACCGCTTGGACTTTACGTATGTTGGAGCGATTTTTCTGGTGGATTGGGATGGATTTGTCCGTTCGTTGGTGGCTTCGGCATTATTTAATTTGCCAAGCGCGCAAGACTTCCTGGAAACGTATCGTTGGCCTACGCTCACTCTTCCCCTCCCGAATGGGCCGGGTATTGTAGTGAGCGTCGATTGTTTTGGGCCATTGCCGGTCACGTCCCGTGGGAATGCATATATACTTTTGTTTACGGACCGTTTCAGTCGACGGGCGGATTTGTATGCCACTACCAAGGCGGAGGTTACCGCTAAGGGAACGGCTAACATTTTCGTCAACCGCTACATGGCGTTGTGGGGTTGTCCGGTGACTCTTCTTTCGGATAACGGTATGCAATTTTGTTCCAGGTTGTCCATGGCTATTTACGGGCTGATGAAGATCAAGAAAGTCACCACCAGTCCGTACCACCCCCAAACTAACGGTGGGGCCGAGCGTGTTAACCACACCATGGCTCAAATGCTTGCTGTTGTGGTCAATGAGCGTCAGGACGATTGGGACGTCCATCTTCCCCATGTCGAGTTTGCATACAACAACTCGGTAAACACCGCCACAGGTTTGGCGCCAAATGAAGTGCATATTGGACGGTTGCCCCGTCTCCCGCTTTCTGTTTTGGACGTGGGTGGCCATCAAAGTTTGGATCGAGACCAGCTCGCTTTCTGCAATCTTGCGGTTGAACGCCAGAGACGAGCTTACGCGTTGGTGCGGGAACAACATGCGATTACGGTGTCGCGTGTCGAACGTCGTAACTCTACACTGTTGGACGGTCTGCGTCAGATCCCGAAATACGAAGTTGGTGGTTGGGCTTGGGTCTACAACTCTGCCGCTACTATTCGGCAGGGTGTGCGGAAACACACCGATGATTCGGTGCTCGAAGCGAAGCTTTCGCTCAACTACACCGGACCGTATAAAATCCTTGCTGTTGGCCCGGCTAAACCGGAGGATTCACCGGATGGAAAACCTGTGGAGCGCCATCTTCTCTACCTGGACCTGCCGTCAGACATGCTGGGACCAGAATCCCGCAACCGTGTCTCCGTCTTGCGGTGCAAACCGTGTACCAACCCATACGACACGGATGACCTGCCTAAGTATATGCCGGCCAATCTATCGAAATATATTTTGCACTCGTATAGTAACAAGTCTCCCGTATAATTTGACTGCTGATGATATTTTGGCGGAGTCTAGTCGTCTGGATGTTGAGAATATTTCAGGACACCAAATTGTACGTGGACGCGGTGGTGTGGTAGCTGTCTTGTACCTGACTCATTGGATTGGTTTGTTGACACCGTCGTGGGAAAGGGAGTCTGATTTGCAGGAATACAGAAAACACATTCTGCTTTACTGGTCTGGTAACGCTAGTCAGCGCGTACAAGGAAACCGAGCTTATCGTAATGCTCGGATAGCTTCGGCCGACCGAGAACTTGCTCGGAATCAGGCCGAACGTTTCATTGCTCCTGGGTACGAGTTGGTTTCGCGTGACATTTGGTTGGCTCGCTTCTCTGTTTCTGTTTTGCCCGTCGGAGCCCACATTTGGTACAAAGCTTTGGATGGACGTTGGTGTCTTGGGCAGATTAGTAGTTTCGTAACAGGCCAGTACATTGTTCGATTTTTGGACACCCCCGGCCCTCGAAAGCTTTCTCTCCCAGAGTATAGTTACTCCACGGTTTTGGATGCTCCTTGTGGTTCTTGGTGCTTGCAAAAACACCGTACTCGTGGTTTGACCAACCCTTCCACGGATGATGGCGTTACGTCGCGAACACGAGGCGTTGTGGCACAGCTGGCTGTTGCCCCATCTGGATCTGTGCTTTGATATCATGCCGCCTACGGGCCGCTACATGTTTTCTATGTTTTGTTCTACATCGTACGCAGTGGTACGCTAGCGCGTGTTTGGGTGGTGTGAGCTTCTTCTATTGTTGCAATAGTCACCCCGACCTTTGCGTGCCCAACGCGACCGAACCCCATTTTGATTCAGATTGGTTCCGTCGTTGGCGATGTGATTCTCAGTAGTCATCACTGTGTGGTGTGGGGATGGTTTGGAGTATTTGTCGGGGATGCAATATTTTCTCTGACCCTAGTTCCTTTTATTTTTATCTTATTTTGTCTGATTTGGAAAGTCGCATCTTCGATCTTTATTTGAGGTTGAGTATTGGATTGACGATAAAGTATCTGCATCTACGACTTCCCAGGGTGGGCTAATGTAATGGAGCAACTAGTGTATTTGTATTGTACGAGCGTTTCATGAACGTTGTATGAGCGCTTATTGGATATTTTGAATTTTCTTTGGATATGGATATTTGGCGACGTTGAGGGGTATTGAAGTAGCTTGAAGGAAGATCAAAATCCCAGCCCCGCTCCCTCACTCTCCGAGTGGGCGCTGAGCGGACCTGGTCTAAGAAGGCTAAACAAGAGATCAAACAACAACTGTGAGTACCCGAAGCCAGGAGCAACGAGCTTGCTCCCTTCCCTCTTTTATTTCTCTGTTCCTCGATAACACCTATTTGTTTCGCAAGGGTCCCCGTTTGATTTTTTCAAAATGTGCAACTTTTCACGGAAGATCCTTCCAAAAACAGCATTTTTTCAGATCTTGGCAAATCTTGACCCAAGATTTGCTCGGAATTGGCTATTCCACCCAATCTTGGACGAATTTGCAAATCTTGCTCTGCTGGAAAAAAATCAAACGTGGACCCTGGCGAAACAAATAGGTGATCTGTGGACATCTCAACCAAAGCTGTGACTTTTCTCGAGGGTTGAACAGCTGATTTTCATTCGTTCGCGTAGCAGGCTGCCCAAAAGGTCGAAAAAGGCAAGATTTGCCCAAAGGAAGATTTGCTCCCCATCCATAAAGATGGGTCTTTTAGCGCCCGAGGATCTCAAAATCTGACAAATTGATTGAGCACTTCTGCAAGCTCTGTGTAAAGAACCTCTACACTAAAGCGAAGTGTGTCGCGACCCGAAGAATGTCGCGACCATTCGTGTCACGACCCTACAATAGGAAACTTTTGTACGAACCCGCCTGGACCAAAACTAGAGGTTGTTAATTTAGGGCTGGATCGCCTTTTGGGGACACTTTTTGTCCCCATCTTCACCTGTTTTACCTCGCGAAGAATGGCATGGTTGTCTCCTCCTTTGCACTACTCGACCAGGGGGGTGCCGGGGTACACACGGACGACTCTAGTCTAGTATGAATGCTTTGTAGAGTGGAGGAGTATGAGGGTAATGAACAGGTCGAATTGCGGGGCGATTGCGCCGCGGGTTCAACAGCGAAGTTGCGCCGCGTCTGTCTACCCTTGGGTGGAAAGCGCTACTAGGGGCAAGCGCTCAAGAAGTACCTAGCCCACCGTTGATAGAAGGCACCGAGCAACCTAGGGCTTGAGTTAGAAGGTCTCGCTTTCCCTCTAGAGAAATATATTGAAAACCTCCTTTTCGTGCCCCGTTTACCACGCTCCCGCCAGTTGCTGTCTATAATCCCTATCAAACGTCCCCTCGTACGTCCCCTCGTAACGAGGGGACATTTGATAGAGATTATAGACAAGAGACGGCTCAAGTGGGAAGGCAGCTGTGAACTTGCACCCAGGGATGGAACTGTCTGCACCATCCAAATCAGCAGGAGTCGTTCGCTCTTTTTCTTACATGTCAGAAATTTCGCAAGAAGGCCGAATTTTCTGTGCGTGGTAAGGGGGTTTTAAGCACAGGCGCTGACTGTCCATGTTCGGTCTTTGTTGAACGGAACAAAACCAACCGTCGATCGTCTCGCCTTCGGTTTTTTTCTCGAAGAAATAACACAATGATGAACAGCGGTGTCCTCAGTTTAAAAAATAGTTGCAGAGGACCAGAAGTACTATATGTTCCTCGTGCTGAAACACATCCTGCTCAGCTCAGAACACGAGTAGTTTTCAGCAAACGCCCCATGCACGTTGTCTACTACTGTACTACTGTAGAAGCCGATTGTTCTTTCGAGGAGATTCCACCTTTGAGCACCGTCCCCTCGCAGAAAACCTCTTCTATATTGGCGGTCCTACAATTATTTCTCCCTATATTTAAGTTATTGCTGTTACCCCCTCTTTCGTCCAAGCAGAAATCAACGGTTGTCTTCCGGTGAGGGGAGTCAACCCTACAGCACGAAGAAATCTCAGATGAACATGTCTCGACGACAATGACACCATCCGATTTCTTCCTATGGCAAATGCTACCTCTCTCCGAGGAGTGGGCGCTCTTCTTTTCCCCCAACGTCGAAAGAACAGAAAGTAGGAGGGTGGGTGGGGAAATACCCAACTTATCGGTAGCTCCTACAGCTGCTAACCCCGACCAGAAGGCAAAAGATTTCTATGAGTAACCACTAGGCTTAAGCTTTCTATGTGTCCACTTCGCTCATTGTATCTGCGCTTCCCTCGCTCTTTTAGCATGAAGAGAGCTTCGAAAGAGCGGTCGACAACGATCCTTCTCTTGCTCATTTTTTCATTTTTTCTCATGTGCAAACAACACAACTCAATCTCTTCCACAGACAAGAGTCCGATCCATCTCTCTTTCTCGATTCCGGGTCCTCTTACTGCAGTACCATACATCAAAGTACGTGATTCTGTTACCGTACCCTATTACACGCTATAGCAATTCGTAGATTTTGCAGTAGCCAACGGCTTGTTTTGTCCACGCCTCCAACAAACCTGCCTGCAACGAAGTTTCTCTCCAATTTCCTTCGGTATCATCATATTTCTATACCCCGAGGAAAGAGAAAGATGCGCGCCTATGGCAGAGCACGTTTGCGTCGCAGGATCTCTCTGGGCCTTGTCTATCGTGTCACAGCCTCTCTGTGCACATACCCGAGAGACTATCTCCTCCAAATAGCAACCACAGACATTTTGTTTTCGTACGTACAACGACACTACGGTAGACCACTACGGTAGACCATGGAGCAGACTTCCATTTTCTTGGCTCGTCGGAAAGGTTGGTCGTATTGAAAATCCTTCGCATCTCGGCCGCTGCGATGTAATCGTAGCAGCCCATCGGGCAACGATGTACTCAGCCCATTGGCAGCTTAAAAAGCTGCCAAACCACTACAAGCTTGCTTGGAGTCAACCTCGCCCCTCGTCAATGCGCCGCTCTGTCTAACACCCAGAGGACTCTCTGCACGAACGCCTAGGTTTGACAGAGTTTAAGCAACATATCTCGTTCTCTCGTTCGGGGGGGTCGTACAGACGTCCCACATTTACCGGGTCATACCGTGCCCTAATATGCGCCCCATTGGCAATTCGAACGGGTCTCAACAAACCACGGTTTGTTTCGTCTGCACCTTGAACAAACCCTCCAACTGAAGAGTTTGGTTGCTCTCAAGGCCGAGTGCAGTCGGAGGCTTCCATGTACCGCACCCGTGATCTCGACCAAGACGGGCCGTCAAACGTGAATTACCTGAAGACCGGCTGGCATCTCGTCGCCCTCCAAGCGCACCCGGTGCTTCACATTCAGCCGCTTCAGGCCTGCCGGCCATTCGATATCGACGAGGATGTCGTAACGCTCCGAGGCCTTCAGCAGCAGCGTCAGTTCCTCGAGGTTCGGCATCCATCTCCCCAGCCCGTGCAACGAGTGGTCGAAGTGGCGGTCTAGATGCAACCGTCTTAGGGAGGACGGCCACCCCGTCGTGTCCAGCGCCTGGTTAAAATTTCTCCCGAACTTGACCTCCTCCAGGGCGACCGGCCACGCAACCCCTTCCAGAGTTCGGTTGAAGAAATACCCGAAACGAATTCGCAGCAGAGAGGACGGCAGCTGGAGCCCAGCGATCTCCTCGTTGAAATTCCCCGCGAACTTGAGCTGCTGCATGGACGCCGGCCACGAAACTTTCCGGACGGGCTGGTTGAACTCGTCCCCGAACTCGAGCTGACGAACCGTTGCCGGCCACGCGACTAGCTCGATCGGCTGGTTGAAACACGCGCCGAACCTGAGCTGCTGCAATGACGCAGGCAAAGGCGTCTGATCGACGGCCTGGTTGAAGGTGCTCCCGAAGGTAAGCTGCTGCAGCGACGCCGGCCACGCGACACCGCTGATTGGCCGGTTGAATCGCAACCCGAAGATGAGCTGCTGCAGAGAATCGGGCCAAGAAACTCTCCTGATGGGTCGGTTGAATTCTTTGCCGAAAACGAGCCGCCGCAGCGACACGGGCCAGCTGACCGCTTCGATGGGCTTGTCGAATGCTTCCCCGAACGTCAGCTCTCGCAGCGAAGCTGCCCACGTGGTCCCCTCGACCTCCTGGTTGAACTTCGCCCCGAAGGTAAGCTTCTGAAGCGCTGCAGGCCAAGCGACCCCCCTCGTCGGCTGGTCGAAGGACCGCCCGAACAGGAGCTCCTGCAACGACCCAGGAAACTCGACGGCTTCCACCGGCTGATCGAAAACATCCCCGAAGACGACCTCCCGGAGAGAGGCCGGCCACGCCACACCCTCGAGCGCTTGGTTGAAGCGTCGCCCGAACTTGAGCGATCGGAGCGAGGAGGGCAACGATGCGCCCTGCATCGGCTGGTCAAAGCTGTCACCAAAGACGAGCTGGCGTAAGGAGGGCGGCCATGCAACCCCCTGAAGGGGCTGGTTAAACCTTCGCCCGAAACTCAGGGTTCGAAGAGACGTCGGCCACACGGTTCCCGCAATCGACTGGTTGAAGTTGTGTCCGAAGACAATCTGCTCCAGTGAGGCCGGGAACGACGCCCCACTAATTTCCTGCCGGAAACAAGCCCCAAACGTGAGATGCCGCAGCTCTGGAGGCCACGACACCGCTTCCACCGGATGGTTGAAAGCCCACCCGAAGGTGAGCCGCCGTAGCTCTGCAGGCCACGATACGGCTTCGATCGCCCGATTGAAACCCCACCCGAAGGTGATCTCCCGTAACGACGCAGGAAACGACACCGCTTCCAGCGGTCGGTTGAACCGCCTCCCGAACGTCAGCTGCTGCAGCGACGTGGGCCACACCACGGCATCCAGAACAGCATTTAAACTGTTGCTGAACGTGAACACCTGTGCGCTGGCCAGCGCGTAGATCGGGCTGCTCAGCCGGTCAGCGCTCGTGAGGTTCCAGCTTACCTCCCGAGCTCGGAGACGCGGCACCCGAGTGTCTTCCTCCGAGTCGTCGGAAGGGCTGTCGGCAGGGGCGAACAGTCGCAGCGGGGTGCTCGTGTCAACCCGGAGGTGGAGGGCGGCGGCGTCCCGGCACGCCTCGCAGAGCTGCAAGGACGCCAGCTGGAGCTCCTTAGTGGAGGCGAACCAGTGCTTCTGCCCACCGTCGCCGCAGGCCTGGTTGAGGACCACGATGGCGACGTCGAGAAACCGGCTACCGGTGGGGGCGGCACCTGCCGAAAAACCAAGCAGACCGCGGATGAATCAACCTCAACAGGAGCTTACAACGAAGGTTTTTCTAAGCAAGCAATCATACTGGGAACAAAGTTAGAAAAATGGCATCGGCTGGTAGTGGTACCTGTCGAAACCCAAGAGGAGTGGGGTGCATCAACCTCAACAGTAGTGTAAAGTCTTCAACGCAGGGCTTTCCAATTAAAGCAGACATGCTGGGAATAAAGCATAGAGTTGGCATCGGCTGGTGGTGGTGGCACCTGCCGAAGCCAAGAGGACCGGGTGAATCAACCTCGCCCGTAGAAGTATACAACGCAGGTTTTTTTAAGCAAAGCAACCATACTTGGAACAAGGAATACAATCGGCAATGTTGGGGTTAGGGTTGGAGTCTGCCTGCCCCCTGCCTGGTCTTTTTTCGTAATGAACAAACTTTCCATGCGGGGTCTGTCCAACCTCAAACATGTTTGATGCACGCGAGACAAAATTCCCAGCAGGAGCGGAGGGCTCAAGGCCGATTGCAGCGATCGATCGTGCCAGTGTATGAAAAACCAGCCCTGGGCTGCTGATTCGTGACAATGTTTGGGTGCATTGGTGAACGAAAGCCCCGGTGTTAAGAGTTCACTAGAAGCCGTCAATAATGAATTTCATCGACACACACATTGATGCGATAAGCATCGTATGGTACTGGGCGAGGGGGTGGTCGCCGCTTCAAGCAAACACTCGCTGTTTGCCCGTTCGCTGGGTCACCCGTTGTTCTTAGCCACGGGAACATTGGTGTTTTGAACGTGTCAAATTGAGTGTCGTGTGGAGCGGTCTTCTGCCGTGTACTCGGGGCCTTGACTGCTGCTGCGTAATCCCAAATCTTCATGTATCACTGGGTGCTGGGCTTCGTCAACAACGACATGATATGGTACCCGGCTCTACAGCGAAATCTCATCATTTAACATATCAAACGTTACCTAGCACAAGAAAAATTCCTAACCACAACAATGTGGGCCCATGGCAAGCGGCAAATTATAGGTTCAGCTTGATGCGATATTGCCTCGAAAGATTCCGAAGCCTCGAACATTCAGAGGAGGGGTTGCCACTGTTATAACGGGTGCGTGATGTCGTAGCTGTCAAGACCTAAACGGTCCTCATGTGTGCATCCCAAAAGCAGAGCTTCGTTCGACAAAACTGCATCAGGCGAAGAACAAACGGCCATCCTGTTGGGTCTGCTGTTGGCCGAATGCAGTGACTCTGCCTGTTTCGGGTGTTCCCCATGCTGAAAGACGGAAACCACGTGTGGCCTCTCCATGCGTGTGCTCACCGGACTCTGCTTCATGTATCTCCAAGCCAGCCAACTGCTCGGCAACCCCGGCAGCTTCCATGAGCGGACGAATGAGCTTCTTCGTCTTTGTATGGGATCTTATCCAACAACGGTTCAAAACGCCCGCCCTTTGTCCTGGTTGTGCAGAAATCAAGCGGTGGACGGCGCGTAGCCAGTGGAAGGACGATTATTTAGTCAGGGAAGTGGCACCTCGTAGGCGAGAGGCATTTGTAGACTGGACTAATGACCATGCGCGTTAAGAGATGTTACTGTTTAGGAATAGGTTACTACAGGGAAGACGCCGAAGGTGGCTCGATTCTACTTGCGGTATTTTCTCTTTTCAACACATTGTCTTTGTATTATCAGCACCACATCTCGACTCGACGATGTCACGGGCCCGGGGCGACCCGTGCAAATGTCTTTTTTGCATGGAAAACCACTGCTGCAGCGCTATTGTTCTTGACGAGATCCTGAGTTGTTTTCCAACGAAGCCTCTAACTTGCACTTGGTCCAGCCTGTCACTTGATGCTCACAGCGCTCTTGATCGAATGAAATGCATTTCCTAAACATGAGAACGGTCTGCCAGGCACATGACGCCTCTTGACCAAACGTGCTTGTGTGTTTCCAACTAAAAAAGGGATTTAGCTCGTAACCGCTCGCTGAAACTAAAATCTACCCGCTAAGCAACTCGCGCGATACGGAGGTGGGTTTACAGTTGTTGGGCGTGCACGCAAGCAATTTAATTGCTTGAGATGCCTTGTAGCAGCCGCCCGGTAAGGCTTGCTCGTCAGAAGCAACACCCATCTTCTTCATATGGTCAGAGGTACGCACGTGCTTTTCACACGAAGGAGGAGCATCAGCCCGAAACGACGGAGGATGAACCAGCCGCCATATCCGTCGATTCAGCTCTGTTGTTCTGCGAACCTCTCCGTGTCGTGGCGGTCAACCGCGGGTAGGGGGAGACGCCGGGCCCAAAAGTGGTCTAAATAGTTTCAACCAAACCGGACCGTATGCGTAAGATATGCCTTCCTACCTCAACCATTGAGCACAGACTAAGCTACCTATGGTACCTGCAGCAAGTGACGGGTGAGGACATTCACATTTTCTTTTTTTTTTTTGCATCTGGAGCCTGCGTTGTAGTAGGGTCTTCGAGGGCTTCTTATGAGCGAGTGGGCCGGCCCCCTCGTCCTGATTACCACGAACGGCAGTTCGCGAGAGATTGGAAAAGACTTGTCTGTAGGACGAGTTGAAAAGGCGCCCACCTGGGCTTAGGGAAAACGCTTAACTAACTACTAAAGCTGCGCTGAGTACTCAGAGTGTACACTCTCTACTTTGTATTATTCTCATTGCTTCTAAATTATTCGCTACAAGACTGCAGTAGAAGTTTACATGTGCACAGCAGGCCTGATTTCGCATTCAATCGCATCAGAGAGCCGATCGATGATGATGATTCACACTGAGTCAACGGCGGACAAGGCGCTCACTACAAGAGAATCCTACATTCAGCGGGCTACCTATAACTGATTCCCCTTCTGGAAGCAGTACAGACTGCCTGGGAGGATGCTATGCGTACTATATACGCACGCATTGAATGGTGGCACCCGACCTCCTCGGGCAAATGTCTCAACCCAACCCCAACCTCAACCCGCTACAGATACGTCCATAGAGTCGGACAGCGGCGCGGCAGGGACTACTGTAGTGTTGCAGCATTCACCTTATTTCTCCTCTTGCCAGCTGTATTAGGCTTTCTCTATCTCGTGCTCCCGCCGTGCGTGTGGTTGGGTTGTGTGAGAGAATGGACCAGCCAGTACACATGCTTGTTTTAGCCGTAGACCCGGAAGCCAGGAACCAGGAACCGCGTTTTACGCGGCGTAACTTGTGTAGAGGTAATTGCGCCGCATCTGGCACCGGCCGTGGGCCGTGGGCCGTGGGCCGCTGGCGGTGGGAAGAAAAGCAAGGGCGGGCGATAGGCGACATTTTCTGTCTAGCTGATCGGCCGTGCAAGGCATACAACGAATCTGTAGCACACACGTTGTTGTGCATACGACTAACATTTGATCTGCCGAGTGCCGAGTGTGTACCACTCTGCATACAGATGTAGGGCCCGGAAAAAAAAAAAAACCCATCAAAATTGGGTCGAGCCTCCATTTATTTATTTAAGGAATAAGCCCATACACCGTCAAAATAGTCAAAATAGCTAGAACCTCTCTTTTTCCTCCCATGCCAAATACAAATGACGATGTAACATACATGAAATGATTGACCCTGTCTTTACCTGTGGTCCACGCTGCCTACTAGTAGGTGAGGTAGCCATACCTTCTGCCTACAAACGGGTGAGATAGATAGGGGGTCATACCCACTGCATCTAACACACACCCACATGTCGGTGTAGAAACCTCAACTACATGCCTCTATCGGCGACCACGTCAGGAGGCAATGCCGAAAAAAGAAAAAAATGTTCTCCCGTGCCATTTGCACATTTGCAGATTTAATAGCACGAAATTACACGAAATTACACAAAAAGGTCACAAAAAGGTAAAAAGGTAAGAAAATGGTGAGACCACGCCCGTGTGTCCACACATACCCCGAAATGTACCCACACATATTGTATACATACCCAAATACCCGGTACATACGCGTACCACATTGAACATACGTTTGAAAACCGAGGAAGATTGCATTCCATATGGCTAAAAGGCTGCCACACACAAAACGCCCGACCAGTACCTAACACATATCATCTGCACCTTCCCAACATAACATATATGAGACACACAAGACAACCACCAAACTGTCTTGTTGAGCCTGTTACCCGCAGGGGAGATGTCCCTATATGCTGTCTGGGAAATCGTAGACATACAGGTACTTTTCTGACGCTATGAATCCATTGCTAATCTGTCTCAGACTCTTTTCTCTATATGATGGAGATGGTTTCGTGGTGTCATATTAAGAAAAAAAAAAAAAAAACACACACACACAGAAAGACTACCCATTCGAGATATACCCACGAACCATTTCTTATTCTGGCCAGAAGGATCAGCCGAAGTCGGTCATTTGCTTGAAACGGATTTATTTTCCTTTGGGCTGTCGCATCCTGCTGATTCTCCTATTATTCCTGTTGTATTTTCTTATTTATTATGATGACGAAGAAAGCAACACACCAGAAGACCAAAAGCCTTCATGCAGCATTATTAAACCGGCAGCTCGGTGTGGCGAACGTTGGGGGTTGTGGCGGCAGTACAGAAGTACAGCAGCAGTGGGTGGGGTAGCGCAGCCCGCGGCGGCGCTGGGGCGCGGGGGGCGCCGCGAAAAAAACCACTCTCCGCCCCTTACCAAAAAATAAGTAGGTCGGAGGTGGGAGCAGGGAGCATGGCAGCAGCAGCAGCAGCAATGGGACGTTTCTTTGGACACGCCCCCCCAGCTTCTTCTATCCCTTGTTTCTTTTGACTTGGGGTGTCGCACGATCGTGTTTGTTTCTTATTGGGATGTTTCTTGTGTTGTTGTGCCCGACATTGAGCTGGTTTCTTAGACCCCGATTTATGGGAACGAAATCTTGTCGATAAATCTTGATCTTGATGGCCAAGATCTGCCAGTTTCACGATTTATTTACGGGAGCGAAACCTTCCGGTATATTGTGGCCAAGATTTCTCGAAGCCCGAAATCTGCCCTTTCGAACAAATCTTGACGCAAGATCTGTCCAAACGAGCCTTCCGACAAATCTTGAGGCGGCGTAACAAATCTTGCCTGGGTGCGGCGCGATCACCGAAGGTCAGCTTACAACCTAATCGTCCATACAAGTCTAACGCCATGAAATCTGCACGTGGCACACTCGTTGATTTCTATTGCCTTGCGGACCCCTCGGGGCCAGTTTATTTGAGTGTACCTTTTTGGGGTAAGTTAACCTGTGACCACGGGAATCGACCGCGTCGAGTGTTGGATCAGTATGGACATACGAAGGTACTGGGTAGAGAGAGATCGGAACGGTTTTTAATGTGAAGACCACAACAACAACAACAACAACAACAACAACAACAACAACACACGCAAGGGTCTCTAGCGCACCCTGGCGTCACTGCGTCGGCGCCACGGGTGCCGACAGCAAACGAAAACGACCAAGGCGCGCGAAAAAATGCGTAGTTGCCCTGGCTCGTTCCACGTGCGTGCGTCATCACCTTCGAGGGACCGTTCAAAGAGTACTTTATTTTCAAGTAGAAAAATAGAGGAGGAGGAACGTTTTGCCAACACAGCTCTGTCGTGTGCGACGCTTCTATCTCTTCATCGAATCACCCCACACCCAATCCGTTTGCACCCGAGCCAGATCTGTGAGTGCAGATGACAGCGCCGGAGGTTTGACCTCGGTACGCCTGCTACATTGTGAGACACGTGCACGGGTGGGTGTCATCGGCTTCGGGTTGATACACTTTCTTGTCAGTTGGACAGCAATGGAACAGTTTTGTTTCTCCGCTTGACATGAGCTCGTGGGCAACGGCTTCTATTTTGCCCCCCAGGTAGGAGACCATCGCTAGTATCCACCCAATAGTGTTGAGGCAATACAGCCGGGGGAGGGACGCCCCTTCTACAACTAACTGCGTCATGCTCACTTTTCGCCACACCGTGGCATTTTCTGTGGACCAAGTGGCCGTTGTGCTTTTATCAACTTCAAGCAGAAGAGAGGAACAACATGCCGCTTTTTCAACATTCAACATATTTCCCCCATAAATCGCGATGCTGCAAATCTTGGATCAAAATGTCAAGATATATTTGCAAGATTCTGTTTCCATTGAGAAGGGTCTCAGGCCTTTTTTCTTATTTTCCGTACAATAAATGTTTGAGCCTTTTTTTCTTACCAGAATTTTTCTAACTGCGGGCCCCATCTCTATTGTAGTCTAGAACAACGGTAGGCGGGATGTTTCCGGCATCCAATCTGTCTGAAAATGGTGCAACACAGAGGAAACGACCGGCGACTTCGAAACACGCTAAAAAAAAAAGCGATGATACCACTAAAAACCTTTGAGCTATGGAACCGATTGAGCTATGGAACCGATGTAGGCGGCGGTACAG